TGCTTGACATTCTTTCTCTAACTCTCCCTTTTACCCCCAACTCCCCCCATCCCCCGCTCTCACTCTAAAATAAAATCTTAAAAAAAAAAAAAAAAGAAATTATTGGTGACCTTTAGTATACTTTAAGTAGAGCTAAGGACAAGAGAAAGAGGAATGAAAGTCAAATTATAAGGAGAGCTAAGAAAGAGAAAATGACCTAAATATCATAAATGGGAATAGATTAAGTAAAAAAAGAACAATGTCAATCCAATGAATATTATATATATTCTCTTTAATTGCTGAGCATCACAGAACTCAGAATGTATCTATGTATGTATTTATTTTTAAAGATTTTTATTTATTTATTCATGAGAGACACAGGCAAAGGGAGAAGGCAGCTCTCTGCGGGGAGCCATATGCAACTCTGCTGAGCCACCCAGGTGTTCCTCAAAGTAGTATTTAAAACAACAAATTGTAGATTGATATATTTAAATTTTAGAAACAAAAACAAAACCATGACTCATATATGGTATATATAAAAACATTAAACAAAGGAGACTGGAAGAATATAAACTCATTTACGATAGTAGAATGGGGATGGAGAGAAGATATGCAACGGAGGAAGAGTGGTCAAGGGGGATTTCTGTTATGTTTTCACTTTTAACATACAGATAGATGCAACTATAACTAATTGCTATGGTTTTTAATTCTAGGTATTGGTCTGTAATTGTCAAAATAGGATAGTGATGTGAATGAGGAAAAGATGCCAACTGAGAAAGAAAGTGAGAAATTGCTTTAATGGAAACTAAGAGATGATTATATAAATCCAAAGATAATATGGTACGTTCCTATCAGAATACATCCTCCAAAGGGATGTACACCTGTGATTGATAACACTTTCACAGAGTGAGGATTCTAATTCACTTTGCCACTGCAGGAGAGGGGCAGGAAAGAGATTATTCTCTTCACTTTCCCTTCCATATGACTGTTTTGGGACACTGGCTAAGTGCCTTGCCTACTCACCAGGTACAAGTAAGTGATGCAAGACAACCTCAACAAAATCCTGAGTGTTTACTGTGAGATGGGAGTAGACGTAAGTCAAGTTTCCAGAAGCAACACTCAGCAGGCCCAGGCTTCAAAATGTTAGGTCCGTTCCTGCAGTTTATTACAATATTCTTTGTACTCTCAATACATTTGATCCCAATTTTGAGAAACACAAGAGAAATCAAGAAAATAGATGGTGAAAGAATAATGATACTAAGCATCTGAGTTTATAAGTGCTTATAATTTCAGAGCAGTGTCACAAATGATACTAGAAAACTACCCTTTTCTCACTATTCTAAAAAATTGTTTACCCACAAAATTTTTAAAAGTTTGAATAATAAATTTATACAGGACAGTTGCTTACTGTTACCAAAACGAAAGGCAATCTAAATATATATCTCTTTTTTTTTCGCCTACAAATACTGCAATAAAATTTATCAAGATAAACTAACAATCGCTAAACGAAATTTATTCACAAAGGACAGAGCAATTCGACTTCAGTTATTAATAAGTTGTAATTAATTTAAGAATCCTGAAAGACTAAGTAGTATAAACTGAATGCACAATCCATGTTACTATTAAACACAATTTTCATTTTATTTGACAGTTAATCAAACACAAACCTCACTATAATTTAAACTCCATACGAGCATTTTTGGTTGTGTTCACTACATAAATCAAGGGCCTAGAATGGTACTGGGTATATGCAGGCACTCAATATTTACTATATAAGTTCAATAAATACAAATACTTAATAATTCACCATCAAATACCTAACTTTTAACTTAGAAGCAACAGAACAATTTGTGTTAAACATATTCCTTAATCTTCTCAAGATAAAACCTACATTGGAGAATTAAACATATGGCCAGGTTTCTGAGCTAAATTCTGTCCCTCAAAAACTGCCACCTGAAAACCAAGCCAGGGAGAAGCCAAATTCATGGCAAGAATTATGAACCCTAATCGGCTGACACATTTTAATCTGTTACGTTTGTCAATATTCCTCAAATGAATCAATCAAATATCTTTGTATTCAATTTGTATGCAGGGCCAGCCCAGATTAAGATGATAGTAAATACAAAAGAGATGGGAGGAATTGCCACACATAGGAGAATCTTAAGCATCTTCCTTATGCCTAAATAATGAATAACATTTTATCGTTTTATATAAGTGTTTACATGTGTTCTCATAGGATACAGTCCTGTGAGGCAGGACATTCTCATTTTATAAATAATGATGGACAGCCTCAGAATTTAAGTCCAAAATCACATTTTGCCACTTACTAGCAGCAAAATGAAAATTTCACAATTACAGTCTCTAAGGCCCAAACTTTTCTCACGAATCCATACTCTTATCATGAAATAATCCCTTAGGGTTTAGGGCAGTATTTTTCAATCACATCAGAAACATCTAGAAAGCTTTTGAAAATACAGATGCTCAGGCCTCATCCTTCTAGAAATCTGTGATCTGACATGTCTTGGGCAGAGCCAGGCATCCATCCATATTTTTTAAATTTATTTATTTATTTATTTATTTATTTGAGAGAGAGAGAGCATGAACGCTTACGAGAGCTGGTGCCAGGAGGGCACCTGGGGGAGGGGAGGCACAAGGAGAGGGGGAGAGAATACCAAGCAGACTCCCAGCTGAGTTAGGGAACCCCGGGGTGGTGGGAGGTGATCCATCACAAGCCTGAGATCATGACCTGAGCCAAAATCAAGAGTCAGCCACTTTACTAAGTTACCCAGGAGCTGCCTATCTCCCCCTCTCCTCCCAAATCCATATTTTAAAATGCTCTCCAGATGATTCTGATGTGAAGCCAGGTTGCAAACTACTGACTGGGATAATAGTCTTTGAATGCCATCTTATGAATCTACCTTGAGGTTATGTCAAAAAGGTACAAAAGATAAGGGTAAGCCAATATTAGAGTCATAGGCTTCAGTAAATGCGGTCAGAATTTCCAAGTTTCTGTTAACAAGTTGTAAATGCCTCACAAGTACTCCCTGGCTTTTACTTTTATGGAAATCTCCAAAGAATATATGAAAGCCAGGTCATCTTTTGGACACAAAAACTCTTCTAAAAGTCACCTGTGTTAGAGTGAAAGTGGCAGACACTCAAAGGGGAAGAACAAATCGAATTACAACATATCCTGCACCAGAATAGGGTGTCATTTGATTGTAACTGGCAGTGGATGACGAGGTTTCCTCTGGGCATTAAGTAGTTCTATGTAATTTGCCAGTATGTTAAATTATAATGAAGGGAAAACCTGGTAACTTGTCAGATCCCCAGATGACTGGGGAAAATGAGAAAAAAAAATCATGCATTTGTTCATCAAACAAATACTTACTGATGATACACCGAGTACCAGGCTCTGTTCTAGGATTTAAGATAAATGAGATAGTTTCTGCCTTCTAGGAGTTTATAAATTACTTACATTAAAAACGGGGTGGTCAATACAACCTGACCTAAATGCTGACTTCAAAAGAGGGCTGGCATAAGAACTTGATCATCCCAACTGAATACAGTAACATGATTTTTATCAATTTTGATGTCTCAAAATTCTGGGCTTCAAAGGAAATGTCTGTCACTCTGGGAAGAGATGTACATTGGGTGATTTGTGTTCTGGGTGTGGCTGATCCAAAGAGCGATTAACTGGGTATAATGTCAGTTAAGGGAGGCCTTTCATTTAATGTCTTACAGTTGAATCTTCTTTACTCAGTACAAAGAACTGTACCACCTGCTTAATAGGGTCCAAGTGGTCTGTTGACAATTGTAAGCAACCATAAACATTATGCATTAGCCTGTAGCACTAGCTACGCCAGGAATTTAAGACCTGGGCAGGGAAAAATGTAGATTTAGTCTTCCAAAAACTCAGGGTAGGAACCACGCACCAGAATCTGAACAGCAGAGGGCGGTGCAATCGGCCTCACAAAAAAGAGTTTCACAGACTGGAGCCCCCCCAGAAATGGGCCATTGACCCCAGTATAATATAAAACTTTCTCGGTGAACTCAACGAATCATAAAATATGCTAACTGTTCAGTGTTGGACTCATGTAGCTGTTTTCCATAAGCTCTACTCTAGTCTGACCATTAAAGCTCCCTTGCGGGTACTCTTGACCTTACAGTTTTGGGGTGGGGATGGGGGAAAGGAGAAATGAAATCAGACTCTCAGGCCTCCCAAAAGAATGCTCGCCCTTGGTTTTTGGAAAGAGTCTTAAAATTGTAGGAGATCACTCCCTTGAAAGATAGTCTAGTTGTTCTTGCCAGTGACATCGCTAACAAACACGTTACAACATAGTTTGGGGGGGAGGGGAGGAGTGCAAGAAACAGAAAAAGAAACTAATTCCGTGGATTAACCCAAACCCCTCTCACTTCCAAAGGGCGTTCCAGCAAAACCAGACGCCAGTCCCTAAGTTTCTCTTTAAGTCTACGCACCCGAGCCACCTGCTCTGTCCTTCCCCAGCACGGACTCTAAACTTTCTGCCCCTCACAGCCCCCCGGCCGTGGAACTCCTCCCGGCACTCCAGGCTCCGCTTACGGAGAGCCTCGAGGCCGAACACCGGCAGGACGAGACCCAGAGCGAGGGTCCGCGGCTCGCGTTCTCCCCCACGGCTGCCCGTACCTGTCCAGCATCTGCTGTAGGGCTTGGTCCGGCATCTTCCGCGGAGCCGGCGCACTCGGCCCTCCGCAGTGGACCTGGTCGGGGCCAGGCCCAGGGACAATAGCACTGAGAGGCGGCGGAGTAGGCCTCAGCCCGGCGGCAGCCGCGAACCCGCCGCCCAGCCTCCTGGGGTGGCTCCGCGAGCCCGGAGGCGGCGGTGCGCGTCCAGCGGGCGTCCGGAGGAGGCGGTGGAGAGCGAGGAGGAGGAGCCTGGGGCGGGGAGGCGGCGATCGCGGCCCGGGTTCCTGCCCGTCGGCCCGGGGTTCCGGTCCATGGACCGCGGGCGCCGAGTTGCTGCCGGCGGAGGAGCTACCTCTGTGAGGTAAGAGTCACCGCCTCCGTGCGCGCCGGGGTCACGACGCAAGGCGGCCCAGAGCAGCCTGGGAGATGTAGTCCTCGGACCGTCCCCGCTAGAGGCTGCACAGCCCGCCCCGACCACCGCCGCCGCGCCCGCCGCCGCGCCCGCCGCCGCCCGGCCGGCGCCCTCCCGTTTCCTTCCTCCAGGGGGAAAAATGTCCTTCGGGCCGCTTTCCAGGAAGCAGCAGGATGTGCCGCTCCACTGTCAGTAGCAACAAGGTCAGCCCTTCCTGCCTGTTTCTTTTCTCAGCTCTTGCCCTCAGGTGGGACCGAGCCAGGTGAGCGGAGGGGGCTGAAGGGCCATTTCTCGTCAGGGTCCCCGGCCCCAGTCGCGGCGTCGGGGCGGGCCGTGGCGGGGATGAGGGTGGCAGTAGAGCCTTCAGAAGCCCTCCGCGCAGGGGCCAGTCTCTGCCGCGTCTGAGCTCGTTTGGGGGAGTTACACAACCCGTGCAAGGGCTCGGGTGCACCGGTGCGGGAGGTTATTCCTGAGGGGACCTGGGGGCTGCCTTGACCAGATTGTTCCCACCGGAGCTTCTCTGTGTGTTTTGGGGGAGTGGCGGGGGAGAAAAGATTATTCTCTCCCTCTCTAGAAGCCTTCTAAAATGTGCCTGGTCTTTTAAGGGCTCGCCGACAAGTCTCCAAATGGAACATGTTCGTGAATAAACAGCTCTTGCTTACTCAGCTGTGGGTTGTCAGGGGTGTTTGTTTCTCTCTTTGCTGCTGGTCACTGTTAACCATTTCCAGTCGCTTTGACACCTCCAAGCAGGTGGATGTGTGTGGAGGAGGGGGGCGGAGGGGAATCAAAGGGGGAAAAAAAATCATCAATCATTAGTTGGGTTATTCTTTGACGCTCTAGGCGCAGCTTTGGCGGGAGGAAAGAGCTGTTGGCTAAAACGAATGCGTCTTTTGGACGACCTGTGGCGTTCTCCAGTGCTGTGATTGGTAGGACGTCTGGTAGTTTTCCCTCGATTATGCCTCATTTTTGCTGCAAGATGTTTGATTTTTCTTTAAAATTAAAATGTGCCTTTATGCCTTTTTTAAGGTGGAATTTTACAACCAGCTTTTAATTCTGTTTAAAGTTTGCTTCCTGAATATATTTGAACTAGAGTGTACGTTGCCAGAAAAAAAAAAAAAAAGAAAGAAAGAAAACATGTGAACAGAAGTTTATTTGGCCTCCAATTTCTGAAAGATGCTGTTATGAAAGGCTTTGGGAATTTACATGACTAATTATAATTAAAGATTCACCTTTTTCATGAGAAAATGAAATGTAAAACAGGCCCCCTGGAGGGAAATAAGAATTTAGTTTACTCAGGGTATCTGATAGTTTATTTTTTTATCTGATAGTTTAAATTCCTATATATTACTCCTCCTACTGGGTAAGACTTCCCTTTATTTATCTGTTAAGCAGTTGTGTGCCACAAGAAGATGGATATATATATATATACATCGTAATATAAAAAATAGAATTTGATCATAGCATATTGATTAAATAGGCTAGTGCAAGCTCCATCTAGTTTTGATTTACACTGAAAGCAGTTTTCACCTCATTTTATAATTTCTATTTGAATCCGAAATTGGAAAGTAAAATGATACACTTCAGTTGATAGAGTGCTGTGTGCAAATTAACCTTAATTTTTTAAAAAAAGATTTTATATTAGGATTTTTATGAAAAGTATTTCCTGGATGTGTCAAAAATCCTTTGGAATAGCAAAAAATGTATAATGTATATGTTATTCATCTTACGAGTGATTAGCACCTGACCTAGTAATTCCACTTCTTATTTACCCGAGAGAAATAAAAGCATATGTCTAGACAAAACTTACATACAAATGTTCATAGCAGCATTATTCCGAATAGCCAAAAAGGTGGATACAACCTTGGGCACCTGGGTGGCTCAGTCGGTTAAGCATCTGCCTTCAGCTCAGGTCACTATCCCAGGGTCATGGAATTGAGCCCCACAGCCCAACAACAGGGGGCTCCCCACTCCAGGGAGCCTGCTTCTCCCTCTCCTCTCCATCTCCCTCTCCTTCTGCCTGCTGCTTCCCCTGCTTGCATGTGCATGTAAGCTCTCTCTCTGTAAAATAAATCTTTTAAGATAATCTCTAAATATTCATAAACTAATGAAAGGATAAATCAGATGTGGTACATCTAGACAAAAGAATATTATTAGGTGATAACAGGGAATAAAGTTCTGATACATGCAACAAGATGGATAAGTCTTGAAAACATGCTAAGTGAGAGGAGCCAGTCACAAAGCCACGTATTTATTGTATGATTCCGTTTATATTAAATGTTAAGAAAAAGATTCATAGAGACAGAAAGTAGATTAGTGATTGCCTAGGGCTGAAGGGGTAAGAGAGTAAAGGGGAGAGAGATTGCTAATGAGTACAAGGTTTCTTTTTGGGGTAAAGAAAATGTTCCAGAATTAGAGTGGTAATAGTTACACAATATGCATTATATCTCAATTTAAAAAATAATGTAAAATAAAATTAGATTCTAGTGATGGTGGCACAACTCTTTATTCTAAAAAAAATTGAATTTTACACTTAGTATGAGTGAACTTTATGGTATGTAAATCATATCTTGATAAAGCTGTTAAAAAAGTAATTAGCGGGGATCCCTGGGTGGCGCAGTGGTTTGGCGCCTGCCTTTGGCCCAGGGCGCGATCCTGGATACCCGGGATCAAATCCCACGTCAGGCTCCCGGTGCATGGAGCCTGCTTCTCCCTCTGCCTATGTCTCTGCCTCTCTCTCTCTGTGTGACTATCATAAATAAATAAAAATTAAAAAAAAATAAAGACTTTAAAAAAGTAATTAGCTCCATATGAAATGTTCATAAGGACATCTAAATAGAAACAGATAAATAGATAACTCATAATTCTTTATTATCAAACTTTAATTTTTTAATTAGTATGGGCAAGAATCATGATTGATAAAACTCACGAAATAAATTAATTCCTTGTATTTGAAATGAGTGACACTTATGGCCTAAATTTTAATATTGTCTGTCAACTTTGTTGTCCTCAGCTCTTGCAGTTAAAAATAAGACTCAGGGTGTGTGGGTGGGCCAGTCAGTTAAGTGTCTGCCTCTTGGCTTAGGCTCAGGGCATTGAGATCAAGTCTCATATTAGACTCTATGGTCAGTGTGGAGTCGGCTTGGGACTCTAGCTTGCTCTCCCCGCCCCGTGTGTGTGCTGTCTTTCAAATCAATCAATCTTAAAAAAAAAAAACCTAAATAATTGTAATTATAATGTACTTTGATTTTGAAGGAAAAAAATCTTAATTACTTAAATCTTAGTCTCACCAAAGAGAGAAAAAAGTTGAAATGTGCTGCATTTTACATAGGGTTAAAGTTTGTGGTAAATGGTATTCAGCCAAGAGCGTTATGGAATACATTAAAAATTTTGTAATGGATTTGGAAATGCCTGAGTACAGAACCACTCTAAATACATCAGGAAATTTAAAATAGTATCTTACTTAAATGTTATTCCATCACACTTGTTTTGAACGGTCTGCCAAAAGGGACCCTGGAGGTATTCCTTGGAGAAATAGTGTAAAACAAACCGGTGTCCTCCAAAGAGAATTATCATTTGCTAAATTTGGTGATAAGCTGCAGGCTGAGTCCACACAGCAGGCCACAGAAAGTTCTTCTGCCTGTACTTTAGTAGCATATTAAAGTACTCTTTAAGAACATACAAACTGGGGATCCCTGGGTGACTCAGCGGTTTGGTGCCTGCCTTTGGCTTGGGGCGCGATCCTGGAGTCCCGGGATTGAGTTCCGCGTGGGGCTCCCGGCATGGAGCCTACTTCTCCCTCTGCCTGTGTCTCTGCCTCTCTCTCTCTCTATCATAAATAAATAAGTCTTTAAAAAAAAAACAACAACATACAAACTCCCTAACAATGATTATGTGTAAAAAAAAAGCGGGGGGGGGCACCTGGGTAGCTCAGTTGGTTAGGCATCCAACTCTTGATTTCAGCTCACTTGATTTCAGCTCAGGTCGAGATCTCTGAGTTGTGAGATGGAGCCCCACATCAGGCTCAGTGGGGAGTCTGCTTAAGGATTCTCTCTCTCCCTCTCTCCCCTCCCTCTCCCTGCTCATGGGCTCATGCACGCTTGTGCCCTCTGTCTCTCTAAAAGACAAATCATTAAAAAAATAAAACAATAATAGTATTTCATTTGAATAGTATTTCATTGTGAAATACTAGTAATGAAGCATATGAATGAGCAAATGAATGGCTTGGAAATGCAAAGGGATTTAGAAGTTTAGAGGTATTTGTTAGGGGCTGGTGTATTAAAAAGAACTTTGTGAAACTAAGGAGATTTAGGTTCTACCTTGTAGCACTAGGAGGAATTTTAAGTGAATAGGTGAATTGTAAGTGTATATAGGTGAGGAGGTGGAGAAAGACCTTGGGTCTGAATGAAAAGATGTAGAGAGAAGAGTTAACCTCTATTATTGTAACTGTAGGTCTCTGTTGAGTAAGAGTGAAAATTACATTTGATTGGTTAAGTAGGCAATAGTTTAAAAGGCCTTGAATCTATTAGTTCTTTCAACAAATATTTATTGAACATGTAGTATTTATGTGACAGGCACTAAGCTAGGCACTGGGAATACAGTAATGAGCAAAACCAAGCATATTACCCAGCTTTGTATAGTTTATAGTGAGAGAGATTATCACATAAATACTTTTTAATTTGCAAATGTGTTATAGTGTTATGAGGGATTATAACTAGGGATTTGACCTGACAGGGAGGTCAAGAAAGTTTCTCAGGAGGTATCCATTATGCTGAAGCCTAAATAAGAGCAAGAGTTAACTAGACAAGGGGAAGAGGGATGAGCATTCCAGACCAAAGAACAGCATGTGCAAATATCCTATGAAGGAAAGCCCTGTGATAAATAGGGGAGACTGAAACAAAAAGGGAATTTGGGGAAAGATGAGACCAAAAAATGTCAATCAGGTGACAATGAAGAACTTTGTAGGCCAATTTAAGGAGTTTTGCTCTTATCCTAGAATCCTGCTGAGAGTAGTTTAGATATAGGAAATCAACTCTATTCTCTAGGAAATGAGAAGTTAACTTGTGGTTCCTAAACCTGGTGTGAGTCAGAGACTTGACCTGGAAATTCTAAGGCATGTGCCTTGTTGTTGTGCCCAATTAGCTGTTTTTTTTTTTTTTTAATAAAACAAGTTCCCTAAGTGATTATTAGAACAGTAGTATCTCTGCAGAAATACTGCAGCGATCAAGAGCCTAGGTTTGAGTCTTAGTATTGTCACTCAGAAGCAGCAACTTTGGGACAGGTTACTGAATCTGTTTAGGCCAAATTTCCTCATCTCCAGGAAAACTATAGATTTTACCTCATTGGATTACTGGGAGGATTAAATGAGAAAATTCATTTAAATTGTTCAGTACAGTGCTGAGCACATGGTTAAGAGTTCTATTAATGTTAACTTTTAATTATTACTAAAAGTTCTTGAATAAAGGTGAGAGTGGTTTAGGGGGATTAAATTTGAAGTGGTATGCAGGATGGATTAGAAATAAAGACAAGTTAGATATCAGTAACTTGGCCATGGTCTATAACTGTTTTCAAAAGTTTGCTTTAACACAGCTATTAGTTCTTGAACATCTTTATATAGACTAAGTAGTTCTTTAGAAGATAATGTCCCCATCTCTTAAAGGACTTTTATGGGGAGAGTTTGGCCCCCAGAGTACATTTTACTGGCTTGGATCTGTAGGATTACTTTGAATTGACTTTTTCCTAATTCTGGACAGAGGCTTCATTGGCCTGATAGAGGACAGTCTAAGACCTGTCTATCTTTATTTGCTCCTTAGAGATTAAAATCCTAACAGTTTATATCTACTCTAATGCAATAATATTTATAAAGGGTAAGTAATGTTACATAATATCATCACCTACTAACTTGCCTTCTCTTCCTACTCATAAATAT